TTTTTTTTTTTTTTTTTTACAATAATCGTGATAGAATATAAATATAAAATATAACAGAATAAACCACTCAGCCTTTTTTGTTTTGTTTTTGCAGTGCTAGGGACCCAACCCAGGGCCTTGCACATGCTGGGCAAGAGTTCAACCACAGAACTACACCCCGACCCCTTAGTCAAAATTTAAAAACATTTCTTACCGAAGTTTGCATTCACAGAAAAACTGAGAAGGCACAGAAAGTTCCCATTCAGCCCTGACTGTCTGCACGCAGGGATGCAACCGCCTTAGTCAGGTCAGGGGCACAGGTCAGGGCGTTGAGCACATTCACACTTGGGCAGCCGTGGCCACTGTCCACCTCCAACACGTCCTCATCTCCCCCAGGGGAAGCTCTGTCCCTGTGAGGTACAGGACTCCCCATTCCACTTCCGGTATCTGAGGAGTGGTACCCTGCAGTGCGTATCCTTTCGTGCCTACAGGTGAGGCAGGCGCAGCCCCACTGAGCTAAATCCCCGGCCCTATTTTTTATTTTACGACAGGGTCTCCCTAAGTTGCTAAGTTGCCCAGGCTGAGCTCAAACTTTGAGTCCTCCTGCCTCAGCCTCCCAGAGTGCTAGGATTACAGTGCCACAATGTCCTTTTTTTTAAAGTCACCTTGATCATGGGATCTAGGAGCTGCGGCAGGAGGTCATGCCCTGGCTCAGAGGTGCCCTGGCCCAGAGGCAGGCTTGGTAGTCAGTGAGTTCCCCTTCTCTTCTTAGGCTTCAGGTTTTCTCTTTTGTCCTGGGCCGGGTCTGGTGACACTCTCAGGGACAGCTTGGATGACTACAAATCAATAATACAATGGCTCAAGTATGCAGCTCTTTGCACACATTAGGTACCTCAATGCTTGGAGAATCGGGAAGAAATAGTGCCTCAGTTTCCCTGTACATGAAATGAAGACTTCAAACTTCAACTGGGAGGGGCTCTGGAGAGTTAAATGAAATGATACATGTTCTGCAGGGACCATCAGGCAGAGCTCTGTGCAGCCCTTACTGTCTGGGAAAACCTGCTCCCCTGTTACCTGGGGTGGGAGCCAGGTGCCCACAGTGTCCCCATCCCGTCCTCCCCTACCACATGAGCATGGCACGTTGCACAGCCTCACAACCCAGTGTCTAGCTGCTTGTGGTTGTGGAGCGCATTAAAAGAATTAGACCTGTGAAGTGCCTGGTGTCTTATCTGTGGGCTGGGAACTGTGCTGATCTGCAGTCCCTCTCCAGTTAGAAGTTAAAAGTCGGGCTGAGCTGGGCGTGTTGGTGCCTAGCGTCCTGTCAGCCTGGCTCTCTGGGAGGCTGAGGCAGGAGGATTGCAAGTTCAACCCCCCCAAAAAAAAGTAAATAAGAAGGGCTGGGGATGTAGTTCAGTGTGAAGGCCCTGGGTTCAATCCTCGGGGCGAAAGAAAAACAAAACAAAACAAAAAAACAGTCTTGGCCTCTGTCACCTTCAGTGGTGATGCCTGCGGCCCAAATCTTCAGTGCGGGTTGGGTTGGCCTTGCAAAGCTGATCCCTTTTCTCCTGGCCAGCCTTGGAGGGTGGGGCAGCTTCTCATCACCATTTTGCAGAAGCATTAACTGAGCCCCAAGCACCTGATAGCACCAGCACTCAAGGTCACAGAGCAGGGGAAGGGCAGAGTAAAACCCACACTCCAGCAGTCTCTAGATCACTGTCTATGCCTCAGTTTCCCCAGCTGCAGAGCAGAACTGGCAGATATGAGGGGCGTGGACTGTGCAGGCCACAATCCTTGACAGGCACCACGAGACCCTAAAATGCACAAGCCAGCCTGGCCTCCCTACGGAAGCCCCAGTGTTTCAAATCGAAACTGCAGAGCCAGGGACCCATCAGGGC